AATATCGCTTGACTGAAATCACTAGTTTACGAATTTCTAAAAGTCTACATAAGAAATTCTTTATTTCTGACATTTCTTTTTATTTTATAACAGAACAGAAAAATTTCTCATACGTTTTTTTTTCTATTTTTAAAAATGGATTTATATCCTAAAAAGATTTTTAAAAAAATCAATATGTAAACATCTTTAAAGTAACATGTAATATGTTTTGTAACATGACTTTTTAATAAAGATAAAATAAAATAAATGTATGTTATATAGAAATATATATAATGTATTTATTAGAGTTATATAATACAAGAAAATATGAAGAGGAACGTTTCAAGTTTCTTTCTAAAATAATTTATAAAATGTTTTTATTAATATATGAACAACATTAAGAAAGTAACTGTGTTGATCATTCATTTTTATATACTACTTCCTTCTGGATAATTATTTTTATTTTCATACTTTTTATCCATTCATATAACTATTTTTTTTTACATATTTCTAACTTTTTGTATAAATATTATATAAAGTTAATCGTTTTTGTATAATTAATCACAAAAGTAATTGTAATTCTTTTTACTTCAACTAATTTAATATATATTTCGCTCTTTATGGTAATTATTTTCCTATCCATAACTTATTTATTTATTTATATATTTTACTTTTCCGGCTGTTAAAAGACAGGGAAAATATTTTACATTTTTGGACTCAAGGAACCTTCAAACGTCGAGTCGAGAAATGCAAAAAAGTTAGAGATTTCTTTGTATGTTTGTGTGTGGGGGGAGGCATGATTTTTTCATCCAATTTAAAGCTTAATAACTCCTGTGCCTTTTGCTAAAAAATCCTGAAATTTTACAGAAAGATTTGTGTATCAAGGATAAATGCTTATAAAAATTTTCAGGAAAATCGGACCATTAATTCGGGAGATATGGCCCCACTTCTTTAATATCTNAAAACCTTTTGTAATCAATCCTAAAAGGGTGAATGAAATTGAATTGACCTGAACATTGTATATAATAATACTAACTGATAAATATTGGAATGGTATAATTATGACTATGATCAATGTTTATTCTATGTTATAACTCCCTGTAATAACAGGCCTTTGCCTAATATGACTAATAAATATATATTGATTGATATATATATAACTGATAAACTTGAAATCCTCGAAGTAAATATCATATAAAAATATAATTTTGCATAAAAAATTAAGTCAAGTCTCGATATAGCGCCTTTTAAATAATGCTACCCTCATAAAATGACAATGAATGCTTTTAAACGAATCTTTTCCATAAATATTAAATAGAGAATCTTTCTCAATGTCTGTGAATTACTAAACACATGATTTTGCAATGCAAATTAAATTATTATCACTAAATCATGTGATTCAAACTCTCAAACTTTACGTGTAGCTCCATTACTATATATTGTCGTTATTGCTTGAGATGCTTCAATTTAACGCCAAACTCGATTTAATGAGAATTCTAGAAGCGAACAAATGATGTAATAAATTGAAGTTTAATTGTGTGTAAAAATTAAATTAATAAAAAAATATATTAAAAAATATATATAATATAATCTACATATACACAAATAAAAATAAATTTTAAAATGCATTTTTTTTTAAATATTTCAACGTGTGCAGAATAATTATAAAGAAAATTATTAATAAATGCAAATATATTTTATTCAATTAAAGTAAAATATAAATAAAAGTAATATTATTTTATATAATAAACTGTTATATAAAACATTTTCAGAATTATTTTTAAAAAGTGAATTTTAAAATTTATTAAATAAATATCTTGTAATTTACATAATACTAGAATTAATAAATAAAATATATTTTCACCGCATTTATTTTCTTTATCAATTCATGTATTAATGTAAATATAATTTTTTTTTAAACAAAAAAAGGCAATAAATTNAAGCCAAATATTTGTTTTATCGACTTGATTTTTATATAAATATATTTTTTAAAATTCAATATACATTTTTAAAATGAACAATAGCTAATTAATTTTTAATGAGAAAATTTTTTAAAAATATTTATTGTTAAATAAGCAAATTAAGCTTTTCCTGTTTTTATATGATATAAAGTTTATTATTCAAAGATAATTTTATTCTTATAGAATTTAAAAATCGTCATTTTGAAGCAGTTATAATTCGTAATATTTCCTAATTTTTTTTTTAAACTCGAATTATACTTTTATTCGAAAGGAAATTATTATTATTATTAATATTATTCCTATTTGAATAATAAGAGAAACATTGTTTTAACGATAGTTTAATCATACGTTAAAAAAATCTGTTATATGTAATGATATCTTTGTCAAAAATCTAAGTGTTCTCGAGTTAAATCTTAAGGGGTAACTAACCCGGAAAAAAATCGTATTCGCTTGCGTCATTTCCGCTAGTTTGAAATAGTCTGGATATTGATTGCGTGATATATTGCGTGGGACTCGAACCCTGATTGTTCTCTCCCAATTCATGTCACGTTGGTTCGTTCTTTTCGTCCTCAGCAAACTTGAAAGGATCTTCCGATTATAAATGAATTCTAGGAAGTTTCTAAGTAGTACTTTTTAGCCTCGAAGTATGGAAACTGGTTTAAGTCGAATAAAAAAAAAATTGGGAGAAAACACTTAAAAACCAGTCCTACCCTCAAGTGAAGATACGGGCAACACAGTAAGTTGCAATTACACCAGACGATTACACAGCTCCATCAATAGTAAGGTATAAACCACTTACAAGTTTTCATTCGATCCGATCGTGTTTTAAATTATTTTATTTTAAGTAAATCTATAAGAAACATCTCTATAATAATAATATAAAACTGGTTTTAAATATACAGTACACTATCAATATACATAATTGTATTTAATGGAATAAAGAATTAATTCGGATAATTGACGCTTTGGAAGAGAAAGAGACAATCAAATAGAGAAGAAAATATATTCTATTGATTTATCATGCATAATTTAATTATACTACTGCATTGATCTTAATTTAAAATTTAACCAGATTATTTTATTTGTTTGATTATTCGAAAAATCGATAATATGAATAAGGACTATTTCCAATTAGTTTAGAATAATTGATGTTTAATTAAAGAAAATTATTTTATACACGTATATATTTTCAACCCCCCCTTAGTATATATATTTAAAAAAAAATATGATTTGATAAATATAATCGATGCGGTTGACTACAAAAATTAATCTACAAATAGATTCAACTATAAAATATTTCTAGAAATAAGATTAAAACAGAAAACAAAAAAAAAATTGTTTACAGAGAATACCAAGACTTTAAACATGATGATGATCGAAAATTATCTATTGATTCTTCTGTATTTTTTTTTATTATTCGTAGTTTATTGCGAGTACAAAGAGATTGGATTTGATTATTGTTTCTGTAGCGATATATATACGTTTTTATATGGAACTAGATATAGAACAAAGCTGTATTTAATGTAGAATTGAATATTTTTGTATATAATACATTAAAATTTCGATATAACAGGGGTAGAAGAGTATTTTTAAACCGAATTTTTCTTTACAAAATATTTTAGAAACTAATTCCTTACGCTTAAGTATGCTAGGCCCTACGATTAAATTGATATATATATATATATATATATATATATATATATATTTTAATTTATAACATATAAAACATAAATATGAAAATTTTGTTCTGTTACTTTAAAATTATTTATAAAATTTTAATATATTTAGTCTTGTAGACTTATAAAAAAAGTGTAAAATTCAATCACTTCAATAATTTAATGACATAATTTTGTGAAAATAAAACTTTTGGTGGAGTTTAAAATCATTATCTTTAATTTTTTTTTTATAAAAGTTGTTGATTTTAAATTATTTTCTATCAGATTTAGTTCAACAATATCTTGGTTAAAGCTTAAACATTATCTTTTATCCCACTGGACTGGATAGGTGTTGTTTATACAATATTTTAACTATGTTTAGCCGTTTCCACGTTAAGTTTAGACAATATTCTATATATTGAATTTTAAAATCAAATTTATAATTTTAAAAATAAAAAATACAGAAATTTTAGAAAATATTTTCCTGAAGTTTGCTTACATTTTTAATTACAGTATTTTACTTATCAGAATTATTGTGAAGTGCATAATCAATATTTCGATATCGCATATTCAAAATAGTGTTTTATCTCTTCGATAATTAATAATTATGTTAATTATTATGTTAAATAATAACATACTGTACAATAATAAGTAACTTAAAAGAATTTTCTATAGTATATATATATATATAAGAGATTAATATAACGTTGTTTTATGAATGTACAGATGTACTGTACTGTACAATGTGTGTGTGTTCATAAAGAAAAAAACTGTTAAATTAATCTTGTATCTATCTAGTAGCCTCTTTTTGTGTGAATAAGATTAGTTACAATGTGGAATAGAAATCTTTTCTTGAGGGAAAAAATATATAAAAATAAATGGAACTACAGAGATCAGATGAAGAGAAAAGAACTTAGATCATTAATATCTAAGAAGTAGGAGGAGATGTAATTTTATACAAGAGACACTAAAGAGATTTTGTTTAAGATAGGTCAATTCGCAAAGGGCTGTTTTCAATTACTATCTTGAGGTCAATATACCTGATTGACCAACTCATTCTATTTATAAACGTTATATTGACTTACGTCACATTTAATATTTTCCTCTCACATCTTTCTATTTTCTGACAAAGAAAAAAAAACGGTTAGAAAAATTATCTAATAAAAAACATTTATATTTTTATAATTACTCATTTATTTACATGATAAAATTATTATAAATAATATAACTTAATTTTTAATGGCTGTTTTAAATATATATTTAATGGCTGTTTTAAATATATTTTCTGCCGTTAATGAATGTATTTTTACCTATTTTAAATATAATTAGACCAATTTAATTATAATATATATATTTTTTTTTTAAATTGTTTTTAGATTAATTAATTATTTACTTGTTTATACAGGAATAGAATTTAGTTCAGAAATATTTACTAGAACTGAAAGGAGTTTTGGTGGTTCTAAAGTGGAACCACCTTCGAGACCAAATTCTTATTGGGATGATCCACATTATCGTCCTTCATTCGACAATACTACAGAAAGGAACGTTACAGCTCAGCTAGGAAAAACTGCATATTTACATTGTCGTATACGCCAACTTGGAGATAGAACAGTAAGTAAAATATATATAAATAAAGTGTAAAAAATATACATACTTTCGCCCACGAGATAATTACTCAGTAGAAGTGTGGATAGCTAAAGATTATAAATAGAAATTTTAAAATTGCACGCGATATTTTTTTTTTAAGAAAAACGAGTATAATTTATGTAAATTATGTAAACGTGTTTAAATAATTCGAGAACAGTTTAAATTAAAATCGATATAATTGCTTAATTTATTCGTTGAAAGTGGTCAGCAAGGTCGAAAATGTCAACGCGTCATTTTACGCGATATGAATAAGTCATTAGACGAATTAAATGGGTTAATACTCCTCCAGTGAATTCTCTACCAATCTTCAATTGGCTTGGAATGCATCAAAACTCTATTAAAATTATTTAATAACGAAATATTCGTATCTACAAGCATTATCCTCTTATGGAAAATTTAATCTATATTTTTCTACTCATCCAGAAAAGTGTATGTATTAAAAGTAGATAAAAATATAAACAAGAGAAGAATTTAATAATTATCGATAATGATAACGTTATTATAAAAATATATAGAAGCCGATAATAATAATAAAAAAGGTCGAATCCGAGAGAAGAAACTAAAATACACTTCAGTGATCTTCAAAATATCCATCTTGAGAGAAAAACCTTGAAGGAAGGATTTTGATCTTTTCCTTTCGCTTCAGGTAGCCGTAGTTCATTTAATAAAGATACAAAATACGGAATATTTATTTTCTTTACTTACTGAACTCTTTAGAACAAAGAAAAAACAAAAGACGTTAGATTGCTTTTCAAGAGGTTTGAACTCTAAAATACACTTTGATCTCTCTGGATCAGAGAAAGTTATTCTTTCTGATATATACTTCTCTAAATATTTTTTTATCTCCTTTATAAGCTAAAAGAATTATTTACTATTTTAGTTTGACTATTTTTTTATACATATTTACATTATATTCTTTCCTTCTAAAGTAAAGAAAGATATAGAAAAGTATACACGCACACACACACACAAACGAATATATGTATGTATATCTTGTTCAGTCTGAAGATATATAGTTGAAATTTCTGCTATAAGAATCAAGAATTTTTAGGAAAATAAAAAATGAAAAATCAAGGTTGGTAAACAAAGAATCTATTCTTGGTTGAGTTATATAATTTCTCTTGCTTTAGATCTATTCTAGATAAAATTTCATTTATGTTTGTTTTAGTTTAAGATAGTAAAAAAGACTGATGTTTGGTCGTTTCTCACGCAGATTTGATTTTTAATGAAGGATATTCTTGGAAACATTTTGAATAACGTAGCGTATAAGAGATAGGAAAAGTAGATATTTTCTCTTAAAAGCGATCTTACCAGAACTTATTTGTGTGATATATAATCTTATCATAATAAATATTGATAGCAGGAAAATAAATTTCAAGATGTTATTTTACTGTCTAATTAATAGTTACGCCATTAGAAAATTCGTAAATCATTTTACTACCTCTAACGACCATTTACTGCTACAAAATAAAGTTATAAATTCACTAAAAAGATATAAAAATCATTAATATATACCCCAAGAAAATAAATCTAATTAAATTGTAACATGGAATATATCGAATTTTGCTACATTAAATATTAATTATATACGAAAATAGATACGTTTAATACATTATAAAATAACTCAAATATTAATTATTAAAGAATTATTTTTATTAATTAAAATTTATATTAAATTTAATATATAACCAGGCATCAATCTCGTTAAAGTAAATAGCACTTTACAATTAATTTTTAAAATTTCTTATAATAGTAATAATAATAAACTAAAATGTTTTCGTAAGATAAAAAATATATGATTTATTAAGAATTTATTTTTCCCAGAAAGATTAAAATTCTTATATCTAATCTTTTAATGGAAAGATACCTTCCTACAGAATAAAAAATGATATATCTGTATTTGATGGATATATACTGTATATATATATAAACATAGAATTATTTATTTGTTTGTTGTTTAATAAATCATGTGAATTATGGAATGTTTTAAAATTTATCTTGTAAAATTAAAAATATAATAGATCAATAGACTTAATTTATTTAAAAAAAATAATATTTTTCTTACGTATCTTACATAGAAACAAATGAATAAATATATATCTTATATTTTACTATTTTATTTAAAAATTATTATTTTTTATTTAATGTAAAATTTTTATCCTTATATCTTACATTTAACTTTATTTTTTAAGTTATTTATTTACTTATAAAGTTTTCTTTCTATTTTCTGA